CGAATGCGAGGAACGGAGGTAGAAAGTTGAGTAGGGATTACTTATGCTTGATTGATAGATTGAAAGAGAGAGGTTGTTGAGCCGCCGTCAAAAAGAAGGTGAAACAACTTGTATGCATTTTAATAGTTCTAACTATACTCACATTCTTCTAGCATGTTACAGTACCTCATCAACTAAACCAGAGATGTCAGTTTACGCAACCCCCGTTTGCCTTTCCTTATAGAGTTAAACGTTAATGGCCCTAGACTGAAAGGTTAGGACAATTGGTTTAGTAACTTGACTTACATGCTTACAAGCTCATATCTCATTATCTCAACCATACTTGTTTACGGACATATGCAGTCTCGGTCAAGGCTTTTTTTCTTGGGTCATTAGGCCCTGAGGATCAGAACCTGAAATTAACCCTCTTGACAATTCTGAGTTAGGAACCGTATTGCATATAGACGCTAACACATACACGCATACACTCGATCAAAAGTAACAGGATTGGTATAAAAGATAATTAACCAAACCACTATATATAGATCTATCTAGGTTTTTAATGTTCTTTTGGCTCAATTGAGTCCATATAAGAAGTAAGATAGAGCTGGATAGTGTTCTTGCTTTAGTTTTAATGTGATACTTTTACAAGAATGACACCCAGCTCTGATGATTTCCATCATATGATTGACGAAATCTCAGTACGTTTTCCCCCGAAACGGGGTAAAATGTCTCGTTGACTGCATCAACATGAATAGCGTATAAAAGCCAAACGGCTGCAGTACAACGAGATTTATCCGTCTTCATCTGGTGGTAGCAACCAACGAAGCTCTTCTTCATTCACTTTCATAAGAAATGAAAATCTCCTAACAATGTTATCTCAAGAGATTAATCAAAACCCAGTTTCTCATCGAAACTAAAAAAGGCCTGTTTGAATGCAAACCTTTTTTTATTTACCCTTTGGCCGAGTCGCTATCGGCCCATTTGTAAACCAGTCGCCAATGCTGCCTAAATCTTTGTGCCTTGGCGACTACTTCAGGTGATTTAAGGCCTGATATGTCCATTTTCCACCCTGAGCTGAGTCAAAAAGGGACACAAGTTCTCGTTTGTCACTGTATGCAAACAGTCCGCATTAAAAAAATCCTTTTTGTAATGAAAGCTAATCAAAATCCAATATTCTCATCAGGCAAACTAATTTCATTGTAAAAAAATTACATGATCCTCCCTTGAATCACCATAAGCGATCTAGTCTACCACACTTTTTGCTACCATTGTTTGTCACTAAACTTAACATACTACTATTATTTTTAGTTAGTAACTAGTCATGCGACTTGACGTAGATTGCAAAAATCAAGACTTGTCTTTATTTCCGTTTGCTTCTAGGCCATCCAATTACAAGGTCTGTATGACAATATTTCACCTTCATATGCTTATGACGCTCAAAGCTCAGTAAAAAATCTTACTATCCCATTTGCCGAGAGATATTTGAAAAAGAGAGAAATGTGAAGTATAAATGACTTACAGCAACGCTTTACATCTCGCTTGAACTCCTTTGGCTCACAAGCTGCAGGGGCAATGTCGCCCAGCGACTGCTTCCCAGACGTCTTCTTTTCGGAATACACCATCCTCATCCACACTGTCGTCTGAAGACAGACGCTCTTGTCGCACTTGTTTCTGGAAGTCGTCAAGGCGTTGGCGGCTGTGCAATGTCCTGGACAGGGCGTCCGAAGTACCCGCTGATGCCGATTCCGGCATTGGCAGGCCTCCAGAATGACATGGGATTTGGGCGGTAGGCATCGGCAGTCTTGACGCGCCGGTGAGGTGACCAAGAGACGCCGGTAGAGGAAGGGACTGCCTGGCCGGGTGACATGGCACTCGGACATGATGTTCACCTCACGACGGCCACAGTCTTTACAGAACATTTAGACGATCGAAAGAAAAAAATTATCATCGTTTCTGACCTAAATTGTTGGTTTGTCTGTATAAAAGTTAATTCTAGTCGGTCCCGAAGAACTATCAGACAATGGTACGTCCGAAGGAAGGAGATATCAAGTCTCAAAAAGCACAAAGGAATTCTAGACAATACAGTGGCCCCGAGATGAAAACCAGAAACCCAGATAAACGAAACTAGTCCTGCAGCCTCTGCCATAGTGATCATAGGGTCTTCCAATTATGGATCGTTTACTCGGTAAATTCCCGAACATTTTGCCTGTATCGATAAGCAATGTCATTAGCACCAAACTAAAAGTTGTCAAAATGACGATTCTGGCTCTCAGCTACCCTCAACCTCACGTATTGTGGTAGGAAGACTTATTGGGACGCACCTAGTCAGGATTCCATTGTCTGCATGATCATTTCCAAAGTTGAACCGTGGACGTGGTACATTCCCGAAACGTTTCGCCGGCATCGTCAGTGAGTATCGCCATCTTAAACACCATACAACAACTCGTCAAAGAGATAAGTCGGAATGGACCACGTCCACGGTTCAACTTTAGATATGATCATGCAGACAATGGACTTCGGACTAGGTGCGTTCCTCTAAGTCTTTCCACCAATATGAACATGTTGCGAAAATATGGTCAAACAACTTCTATACAACAAAAGTAGACTGCGACCACACAGAAGGCCACACCATTTTGGTCTTCATACCTCACGTATTAGGATCAATATTCCCATCCACCTTTCTGTATTATCTTTTATTCTAGTCTAGTCTAGAAGGTAAATAGGTCCTAATCACCGTTACAACGGTATGAATGAGGATGGGGGAAAAGGGAAGATGACATAATTGTGAAATTGTATAATCTTTTCAGAACGATTAGGCCACATTGTCAAACGATGGAATCAGACGTTTCACATTTTCATCTGAGAGTCTGAACCGGTTTGAAGATGGCTTAAAAATGAAATATGGCAATCGAACCATCAGCACTCTTATCAACCTTAACGAAACAAGATGAGTACATCTCGCGTATAGGATCTACCGGTAGTCTCAAAAGGCCTACTTATAAACGAAAAATAAGTAATTTAGTCGATTCCTATAGCAAATACTACTTTGCTTCATTGGCAAGCCGACCACAAAAATTTGATATGGGAAAATATCTGACGTTCCTTGAAATTCACATCTGCTCTCGTGGCAATGTGATGTACTGGCCAACATGTCGAGATTACACACAGCACCGTCATGGCTCGAGCCCCGCTGAGGGTGTTGATAATACCTGGGCGAGTTCGTAACTGCAGTTCACTCCAGTTCAGATGATAATACCTTCTGGGAAGCAAGGCTATGCGAAACTTAATGGAAGCGTAATGTGTACTAATATCATTGTGGACAAATTCCTTAACGAAATATAATGAATGCATGTCACATAACAATAATAGTCTCCCCAATTCATGGCAGAAGATTTATGAAGTTAGGTATGAGTTCCGCAGTTAAAGTGTTTTTCGCCTGGCAGGTAAACATTTGCTTCTACACGCAAACCGTCTGCCTCGTAAAACTTTCTCTAGGTCTGCCTAAGATGTCCATTATGATTCGTTTAGCTGATTTTTCAATTGGTCGTCGAGGCTCCATCGTAAAATTTGAGCAAGCAGAAGAAGGAGAATGGGAAAACCCTAAACTTTAGTTTTGGTGGCTTCCAAGATTTTTTGGGCCACGTAAATATGAACAAGGGTTTCAAGTACTTTTCGTGCAAAGTCACCCAATTTTACCATAAGATGTGCTGCTTTCAAGTTATGGGAGAGAAAATCTGGACATATTTCCGGCAAGGCATAAGCAGGAAGGATGCTAAGAGCTTCCCGAGAAATCCAACCATCAACAATCATTGCAGCTGAAAACCGTCATATGCAAAAAAAGTTGGGTTTCCAGGAATCTCTTGTTTCATTATTAATGAGCTTATTTCCATCTCGAGTAAAAGTGTTGGTTGACGAGATTCGAAGGTCAGTTCCACCAAAAGACGACGGCAGATTCCTCTTGACCAGCTGTCGATTGGCTCTACTGAAAGATTCATGCTGACGCTGTTTCCGAGGCAATCT